TGGAGAGAACAGAACTCATGAACATAAGTCCAGGGACTTATTCCTGTTCCATTCTTACTCCACCATTGCCGAGTTTTCAGCTCTCTCTTTCTTTTCTCTCGTCTTCCTGACTGCTCTGTTCTTTCTGTGCTCAGCATCATATTTTACAGACGTGTCTGTTGCGGATTCTGGTTAACATTACATTTTCTGGGGCTGAGGTTTGCATGGTCTGTTCACAGAGCAGAAATTCACCTCCGAGTTCACAACTATGCTGGAGAGACTTCCTGAAACAGCAGAAGGAGCTCGTGGACTGTTTCATTGATGCAAACGTCGGGGTGACCATTATTAGATTTTATTGTCAACTGATGTCGGGTGTGAACTCAAACAGGCTTGCTGTACACCACATGAAACCACCCTGAGTCACATTTTTAATAAAATCTTTTCTTTCTTTCTTTTTTAACTTTGAGCAAAACACGTCTGGGCACAATCTGTAATTTTTTTTCATTTTTTTCTTTGGTTTCATAATAAAGTAAGTCGACACCGCGGCACCTTCAGCTGTTTATTTCCTGCCCCATCTCAGTTCAGTCATCCATCAGCGAACGCTGTGAGGACATTTCGTTCCAGTCTGAACGTCGCTGCAGGTGAAGCAGCTTCACTGAAGTGTTTGTGCACGATTAGAAATAATAAACAAGTGTAAAGCGAGCTGGAGGATAGATGAGCTTTATGTGTGTTTCTGCACATGGACACTGTGTGCATGTGTGCGTGCTGTGTACACAGAGGGTTCATGTCTGTATGGGGCAGTAAAACAGCTGTGTTTGTACAGCATGTGTCAAAGTGTTTTACAGGAGCAGAGGAGGGTAAATTTAAAGGTCGTGTCACTGCGGAGGACTGAGCTGCTCATGTAAGACGTGCTGAATGAAGTTAGAGAGCAGAGAGGGTCACAGGCCTGATGGATGTGCAGTGATATCCCTGCAGCCTCATTACGTCCTGTTTCACAGATCACCTGAAAATGATGCTGACATCCAAAAGGAGGCCACGGTCACGCTCACAACTCTGTTGTCTCCGTGCTGGCTTGGCTGTTTGTTCGTCATCACAGAGCAGGATGAAAATCTTTGAAAAGTATATTTATATATCAACAAAATCTGAATCGTGAAGATGTCAAACATTCCTGCTGTTTAGTTAAGTGTGTTGTGCAGTGAGCTGTAAATGGTTCTGTGTATGTAATGTTGGAAGAAAAGCTGCTTATTTTTATTTTTTATTTTTTTTAATGGATCCTTATGAAAGTGAAGATTCTCTTTACACCTGTAAGGATTTCAGATGGTTTTCTCCAAATCGGATGGAGAAAGATGGATGGATGTACTTGCTGTGATGGCCACCTTTATTGAACAGGGGTCCGTTCTTCGTACCTCGCTAAGTAAGTTAGCTGGATTAGATTGTTGACGATTTCGCGTTATCTTTGATCGTTCAGTTCTCCGAAGCTCATCTGGGACTTGCTGTCATAGCAACAGATCCGTAAGCGTAAACCTGCTTGGGAGCAGGCTTACTTTATGTAAACAGGATTAGATCGCGGCCACTCAGGTATGTCCGCTTCATTTATACGAAAGCAACAGCGATATTTTTCCACTGTTTTTCCATAAATAAATATTATCAATGTAACTAAAGCTAATGCAGTATTTGATTCTGTTATTGATTTCATACAGATACATACAGGCCATTTCCTAAAAGAAGGGAAATGTACTATTAATCATTCTATTCCATGTATTTGATTATTTCAGATGTAATTCATATTTTAGAGTAGTAATTGTAAATTACTTCGTGTAATCAAGATGAGAGACCACGGCTATAAAAACGAAGGTGGATTTGGGAAGCCTGTCGCAGCCATGTCCTGTCCGTATACGCGAGCCACCCATTGCGGAAGGTGCAAGATTGATAAGGAGAGTCCTCAGAATTCAGCGTATATTGCGGGATAGACAGGATCCTTTAGCTCAGCGCGACAGTGTGCTCATAGAGAGATATCGATTTTCCCGTGAGGGTATTATTTAGGCCTACTTAACCAACTTGTTGACGAGGGGGTGCAGGACCACCACCTGTCTTTTTTGCTCTGCCCTTTTCTTGGTTGCTGTTATGAACAAACAAACAGATTATTTCAGGGTCTCTTTCCAAGAGACTAAAAGCAATATAAGTGATAAATATTACCATTCTGTAGAATATTCTTATATTTCACTTTTACTTGTTCACATGTTCTAGTGGGTCCTGTTGTGGCTCTAATGTGAAAGAGGATATAATATAACATATTATAATATGATATAATGTAATATAATATAATACCCTACCGCCTACTGGTGTTGGCCAGAGGGGCCGATGGCGCGATATGGCAGCCTGGCTTCTGTCAGTCTTCCCCAGGGCAGCTGTGGCTACAACCGTAGCTGCCTCCACCAGTGTGTGAATGTGAGAGTGAATGAATAGCGGCATTGTAAAGTGCTTTGGGTGCCTTGAAAAGCGCTATATCAATCCACTCCATTATTATTATTATTATATTACTTACGAGTTTAATTTGTCAGCAACTTTCTGCCAGCCCTCTCTCCTTGCTTTTGCAGCCTTTGCAGTGTTCCCTTGCGTTTTAATTAAACTCTGAAACTCCTGAAATCCCTCAATCAAGAGTTCTTGCTCTGCTGCCGAAAAATACTGAGCGCGCTCCTTCGACATTTTCGCCGACCAATCAAAGGGTTGCCGATCAATGTTTCTACTATCGATGCGTAGCCCCTGTTAAGCCACCCAGTGATCTCACATTACTTCATCCAGCTGTACTAATCGTCAACAACAGGTGTGTTCGGAGAACCGGAATAGCGAGCTCAAAGTTGGCGCGATGATTTGATCTTGGATGTAGTAAGCGAGGTACGAAGAACGGACCCCAGGTTTCTTTCTGCTGTAAAGTTGGATATTTAGAGGACACTAGTGGACGTTAGAGGAACTGCAGTTTTTAGCACATCTTTCAGCTCTGCAGGTCACACCCATTGGAACGTGCTTCAGGTAGGGTGCTGCGGGGAGAGCTGTATAAATGAAGTTTTCTAATATGATGGTGGGTTTTAGGATGAAGTCAGATGTGGAATAAAAACTAATCTTGGTGTCTTTTTTGAAGTCTCAGGTTTTTTTTTATGAATGGAGGAATGCACTACAAGATCAAACTGAGCTCTGTGGGACCGATTACACTCTTGCTTAAGAAGGAACTTTTCTGTCCAGCAGGTTTTGCACACTTGGTCTGTAAACCGGAAATCTCACCACAGTGAAATTTCTCACCTCTCTTTGTATTTTCTTTTTGTAGCTCTCTAAGACTCTGAATGCAGGATTATTCATTCATTCATTCATTGGAACTACCGTACAGACAGGGCAATGAGTTCTGGAACAATGACACATTTCTCTGTGATCTCTGCTCAGGAATTACAGTTTAGTATCGTTCCATGAAACTCTAAAATAAAAGCTCCAAAGAAAGGTCATTGCATTGATGGAGGCCATCATTAGGCTGAAAATTTAAAATAAACCAGAGAGAAAGCAAACATTTTAGAGGTGGAAAAATCAGAATGTCACTGAGCAGCTCGGCAACAACAAAAGGCCTGAAAACGTGCATGATGACAGAATTATTTCTGTGCTTAAAAAAATAACTTTTAACCCACGAAAGTGATGCTCGAGGGCCAGAGTATCACTGTCCAGGTCTACATTCAAGAAATGCCTTCATGAAATACACAGACTTTACAACAAGGTGCAAACCGCTGGTTACACTCAGGAGTGGGAAGGTCAAAGTTCACAAAAAAGCATCTAAAGAGCTGTGCAGATCTCCAGAAAATCCTTTGGACAGTTGAAACCAATATATAAATCATTTGACAATAAATGTGGAGATTATTAGATTGTTGTTTCACTGCCACGGCTGCTGTTCCCTTTCCAAAAGCCTTGGTGGGGAAAAAAGTGCTACGATGGATGCATCGTCTTTATTTCAGGAGGCCATAACCGTCAATCACCCCACATCCGACCACCGCAGATATGTTTCATTTTGGACAAATAAACTCTTCCACATTTGGTTGTTTGTCCTTCTGACCAGATGCCGCTTTCTGCTACATCGCTATTCAGTTCATTTCAGTTTAGTTTATACAGCGCCAAATCACAATAACAGTCGCCCCAAGGCGCTTTATATTGTAAGGTAGACATAATACAGACAAAAACCCAACAATCATATGACCCCCTATGAACAAGCACTTTGGTGTCCAGGGGACTGGATAATAAGGACTGATAAAAGGAGGTTTGATCCTTATATTTAAGGTTATGTGAGAGTGGCCGGTGTTCCTACTTTGGTAAAACATCCTACCGTAAGTAGTTATGCACATTTCTGCTGTCACAGAGTCATTCCAGCACAAATGTAAGTAGGTATGACGGTTTGCCACTTAACTTTGCCCATCAGAGTATGCTTGTAGCTCACATTCATAAAGCCAGGATGGTTTGCCACTTCATTTTACCCGTTAAAGTGTGCTTGTAGGTCCCATTCAGAAAGGTAGCATGGTTTGGCACGTATTTATACCCGTCAGAGTATGTTTCTAGCTCTTATTAACAAAGGTAAGATGATTTGCCACTGAATTCTAGCTGTAAAATTATGCTTCTAGCTCATATTCACAAAGATAGGATGGTTCGCCACTTAATTTCGTGTTGTGCGCATGCGTAGAAACAACGGGTAGGATGGATTCCCAGAACACCTGTTCGTTCTAAGAAAACTGGGCACTGGGTCTGAAATGTTTGTTGTCCTCAAACAGTGAATGCAGCACGTTATCAAAGTCCGTGAACTCAACATCACACTGAGTGTTTCAGAACAAACATCAGGCGAATGTGAAGAAAGTTCAGAAAAAAGCAGGGATCGAGCATGTGTCCTGCCCCACAGTTCAAAGAAGGCGAAGCTCCAAAAAGATGAAAAACTTGCTCCAGGTTCTCATGCTCTGTTTGCCCCCTCACAGGGAGCAAGTAGCGGGTCTGAGGCGGGGAGGAGGAGGAGGAGGAGAGGGAGCCGCCGTTCTCCGGGCTCCTCCTGCACTGTTTTTGCGCGCAGCGATGGAAGCGGTGTGCCTGCTCCCCCTCCTCCTCCTCCTGGGATTCTCCGTGTCCTCGTCGGCGGTCTGGGACCTGGTGCTGCTCCACACCAACGACGTACACGCTCGTGTGGAGGAGACCGACGTTAATTCCGGGAAATGCGGCGTTAACGGGCAGTGCTTCGCCGGCGTGGCCCGGAGAGCCACGGAGGTCAGCAGGATCCGCAGCACCGAGAACAACGTGCTGCTCCTGGACGCCGGGGACCAGTTCCAGGGTACCGTGTGGTTCAACTTCTACAAGGGGGCCGAGGCGGCACACTTCATGAACAAGCTGCGCTACGACGCCACGGTAGGAGCGCCTCCTGTCCTCCCCAGCTCCGCTGTTCAGGTCCTGTAGATGCTGGGTTAACTGAGTAATGCTGAGTAATCAGATTACTCTCTATGGTAGTGATCGTAATTACCCGTCCCACACAGACATGACCCCCCATCCACCTCCTTCATCTGCTCTCTGCTGCCAGACAAACAAGGATGGGGGGGGGGGGTCTAATGAAGTTCAGTGGAGGATTGAAATTTAGAAAATGTTTCTGAGCTGATGAGATCCAAAGTTTGAAGAAAAAAGCACAAAACAGGCAGAGAGCGAGCTGCTTACTCACATCTGGAGAGCACAGCCACATGTGCACCAGCTCAGAGAGGTGAAACAGAACATCTGACAGCCCGAGTGCATGGTGCTGCTGTCCTGAGTTAGTGTAAGAGCTGAAGCATTCAGACGGTCTGATCTGATAATTACCCAAATAAATTACTGCAAGATCCTAATTGCTTTTATGCCTTTAGGGGCTTTATGGAAATCTTAGCATGAAGATGAAGAGCAGGAATATAAGCATCTCAAACACAATTTTGATCTCTGCAGAGATGGTGGGGTCCAATCATCGTGCTGGTTTTAATTGGGAGAGGCAGACGCAGGACTGCACTCAGTGAAAGGCTTGATTTATTGGTTCAGGTTTAAAGGCTGCACTCGATTTTAATTCATCTAATTATTCAGCTTCTTCTCTCTTCTGCTTTTTAACTCTCAGACAGAATCAGAGATCCAAGTTTAGAGTCTCCATTTAATTTACTTTTGGTGGGTAACAAAAGTACGTTTTTATTGGCTCAGCAAGTCTAAACATTTCGTCTTTTAAATTGTGAAAGTGGGAAGAAGGATTTGTTTCTAGCGGCCAAGAGAGCTAAATGTTACACAGCCGAATACAAGTTCATGAATGAAAAATAAAAACACATTACATTTAATTAATTTATGTGAAAATATGAATGACCTCACTGAGTACACAACAAAGCAAGTTTCCATAAGGCAAAACAATTTGCGGCTTGGTGAAACACTACACCCACTTAAACTCACACCATCCAAATTTAAAGGTCATCTTTACCCCGTCAAAGGTTTTTGGTTTGGCCTGGAAACTCCAGCTCATCTCCTGTCATCGTTCACCTTCAGAGGCTTCAGGGTGTTTTACTAGACGTTTCTGCACAAAGTGTCACCTCAGCAGCTGAATTCAAGGTGTACAATCCTGCACGGCAAACTCCTAAATAAGCGCTTGTGAGCTGATGAGCCCCCTCCAGACTTAAATGTGGCCGGTTCCACTAACTCTGCTGTTTGTCTCCGAGTTGTTTGCTCAACTCTGATCACCAGAAACAGAAACTACACCAGCGCAGTTTAACAAGGTTAACGTTTTCTTTGTATGAAGGTTTGAGGTCTGTGGTGAGTTTATAGAAGCGCAGGAAGTGCACACAGAAAGAAGAAAGGAGCTTTATAGATCACGTACGAAATCATACAGAGTACAACATGCAGTGACATGTGTCGTGTCCGAGCTGCGGACGTAGCCGCGGCATTCCATGGCTTGGTGTTTTGGCATGGGGGCCTAGCCAGGACCCTTACTGTATACTGGGAGGGAATCTGACTTGCGGCTTCTTACCACTACACCATCCAGCTGCAGCAGGATTTTTATTTTAGCCCCAAACACTGAAACAAGAAAATAATTACATTTCAGAAGAAACTCTGTCTATATAACCAGAACAGGTTCAAAAGCAGGAGAAGGTTTTTCATATGAAAGCAATGTTTGAGAAGGTTCCGTGGTTTTAGTTGGTGAGTGGACGGCTTCATGGCCATGGGTGATGTGAAGGCAGTTATGGTGGTCCAAACCAGAAGAAACTGAAGGACAGAGCGTGAGCTTAGTTGGTGGGTGTTTTGAGTAACAACCAACTTCTGCTGATCAGTTCGTTCTTTGTCTCCAAGCTCTTCATTCCTTGTTTCTTTTTCAGGTTTTTGGAACCATGAGTTCGATAATGGAGTCGAAGGACTCATGAAACCGTTCCTGGAACAGATCAAGTGTCCCATTCTCAGTGCTAACATCAAACCGGACCACACTCTGAACGCAACGTTTGGGATCACTTATTTACCTTATAAGATATTTACCATTGGCAGAGAGAAGGTGGGCGTGGTGGGGTACACCACACAGGAAACACCGGCTCTCTCCAAGCCTGGTAAGTGGCTCCTCTGAGCTAATGTGAAAAAACTCCCATGGAAACTGTTTAATGGTTTATTAATGAACAAATACATCAGTGGATGTAGTGTTTTCCTGTGAAAGGAAGTAACTGGTATCGGGAACTGGGATCACGCTTTAATTTGGAAAATAACACCACAGCATTTCCATGAGGATTAAAACCCAAGCTCTGAGTTGGGCCTTTCCATAATCCTCCATTCATCTTATTTATTAAGATCCTTTTAAATCAGGTTACAAAGTGTTTCACTGGACAAGATTGGAAACAACCATCAAATAAAACATCTAAAGTACAATGCATTTAGATGTGTTCTGGTAATGACTGCACCCTGGCACAGTGGAGAAACCCCACAGCAGAACATTTCCACTGCCATGCTTCACAGTTGCTGTGAAGTTCTTCTTAAAGCTCTTTGTTTCCAAAAAAGCCAGCTGGGGCTGTGGCCAGACAAGAAGACCGTTGATCCATCTGCCCAGGTCACGTGACTTCAGAAGGCCCATTCTGTGTTGTAGTCGAGTATTTATTTCCCCAGGAAGCTTCCCGTGGAGGTCAGATTTGTTCAGATGTGCCTTTGACACGAAGACTGCAGATCTGCTGGCGATGTTTTGGGGCTACTGAAGACTTCTGTGTTTGAATGAGCTGCGACGGCCGGTCCCAGGTGTTGGAACGTGCAACATTTATTGTTCCTTACAATGGGATGAATATACTTTGTCTAACTCGAGCTGTTAAAACATCCTTGTCTGTTGGCCACCAAATGGTCTTCAGGCCTACATGAACACTGAAATAAGGACAGGACATAGAAATACTTTGTTCTTCTTCCTCTTCACAGAAGTTTGTTGGTCACAGCAGAAATAACTGTTACTTATGATAAATCACAGATATAAATATGAAAATAGTGCCTGTGCTGTTTTTTGGATTTGGCTGAAAAGCAGACAGACATGCACAAACTGACCGGTGCCAGTGTTTCTCCCCAGGACCTCACCTGCAGTTCCTGGACGAGGTGACCTCTCTACAGGTACAGGTGGACAAACTTCGGACTCTGGGGATCAATAAGATCATCGCTCTCGGTCACTCTGGCTTCACTGTAGATCAGATGATCGCCAAGAAGGTCCGTGGGGTCGACGTCGTCATCGGCGGACACACCAACACGTTCCTGTATACAGGTAGGAAGGCGGATAAAGCTGTCACATCTGCCACATCTGTCACCTACACTGTGGGGCTCACACTATTACTGAAGGCTCAGGCAGTTTTTAACGATTTAAACTGATCAGCAGGTTATTTAATGCATTTAAATAAAGTTTATTTTGCTTGTTTTTATGTTTCTTTTTTTAAGTAATCTCTTTCAGTGGTCTGTCAGTGTTGTAAGTCCTACAATGCTGATTAGCATTATAGGCGAAACAACAGATTTTACTTAGACGGGTAAAATCCTCCTCATACCTCAGCTGATTTTGCCCTGTTAATGGTCAGGCGGTAAAAACAGTGACCTGATTTTTCATCCAACCAATCTTAGTTTTGTTTTTTCGATCTGCTGCTGTGGCTCTGCTCTTTCATGCATCTTCATGAGCAAAATCATTTACATCTTGCTTCATGCATTTCATTCTCCGCAGTCCATCTCTGTGAGGCATGTCTTTGTTTCTTCATGGGAGGAAACTTTGAGTCTTCATCCCTCTGGCTCGCTTTGGAGTAAACAGGCTGTCTGTGCGAGTGAGCCTCTTATAAATAACTCTGAAGTGTTGCATGTAAATGGCAGGACGAGGTTTGGACTCTAACTGCTCAGATGTTTTCCTGCAGTGTGGAACTGCCTTCACTTAGTGGCTTGGGCAGCGCTTCATCACTATTTGGGGATCAGGAAGGAAGAGAGTCCTTGAAGTCTTCCTGTTGTGCTGATGTTGTGCAGATAAACCTGCACAGCGAATTGGACTTGTGTTTAGACAGCCAAGCATCATTAATCAGCGTTGGTTAGTGGATATTCTAAACGTTGCTAGAGAGTGATATTATACCCCTCTCGTCAAAAAAGTGACAGGTTACTTCCGGAGCTCATTAATTATTCATGAGCCCCGGAAGTCCGCAAGTAGGAAGTAATTAAATTATCCCCTAATTAAATTAGCCCCTAATTAAATTAGCTCCGGAAGTCCGGAAGTAGGAAGTAATTAAATAATAAAAATATGATATTCATAAAAATATGATATTCATAAAATATGATATTCATAAAAATATGATATTCATAAAAATATAATTGATTATTTAGAAAGTTTCTTATATATCAAAATAGCATTCTTTTATTTCTTTAAGCAATTAAAAATTTATTTATTTTTTTATGCTCAAAAAACGCCATCTGGTGGCGGGTCAGTGTGTGCGCGCGCCCGCGCGCGCCCGAGGCTGTGTGTCTGGGCGCGGGGGGCGCGCCCGTGTCTCCGGACCGTGCTCTCTCGGGCTCCGTGCTCATGTGTTTAAAAATGTATTAAACCATATTAAAATTGTTTAGTTAAACTTGTGCTTTTGTAACGTTCAGTATGGCCACAAACACATGCTGCATGCCTTGGGGGAAAACTTTATTTCGATTTATATGCATTTGTAGATTTAGAATAAAACTCATACTCAGAAAAAACAACTCGCGATCCCCGCAGCCCCTTAACCTAATCCTTAGATACATAAGCAGGGAAAACTCCTTAAAAAACCCTCCGCTATTTCTCCAAAACCCTACAATAACTTGTTAGGGTACCCCTCTATTCCCAAAACCTTATATTCGATAACAGGGAAAATCCTGAAAAAATCCTTAGTCTTTTTTTCTCAAATTCAGCGCCCCGCGGCTCCCTTCATGCTCAGCCAACAAAGCCAAAACTCCTTTTAAAAATTTCTCCGCGATTTCTCCAAAACCCCTAGAATAACTTGTTAGCTACCCCTCTATTCCCCCCCAAAAAAAGCGCTATAATCCAAAAACATTGGGAAAGCTCCTTACTCTTTTTTCTTCAAAAACTTGCCTCTTGCTAGCTACCTCTAAAATTCTACGCAGACTCTAAGTTCTACCTCGCTCTTAATCGCACCGATCCCGCAACAGCTTCCAGAGCACAATTTTTTCCTGCTTGTTCGCTCCCCGCTCTGGTCCCGAATGCGCTGCTTACCTCGTTTGAAAATTCCCCCCTTAGACCAACTCCGCCTCACTGCGCCCCGCTGCCAATCACATAACCCTTGCACCGCTCCCTTCGCACCCCGGTTAGCCAATCCGCTCCAGGCTCGATTACTCGCTCTCCCGCTCAGGTTAAGACTATCTTCGAACCCCCAGAAGACATCTCACTTCAGACGTATCAACAACTGGAACCGCTCAGACTGCTTGCGAGCTCAACAGCCATGAAACCAGGGATCAGCAACTACCTTCGCGTGCCCTATGTGCATATCATTCGGTAAGTGTTAATCTTCCTCTCTAACTACATTTTTGCATTTCCTTTTTACCATTCTGTCAATCCTTTCATCTTCAAAAAAGCCATGCAAATAGGCTCTGTAACACTTGGAATACACTTTTAAAACATATATAAGCTCCCCTCTAACACTCAGAGCTAAAAAGTGCGTTTGTAAGTTAAACTATAGCAGCAATCATGGCCTCATCAGGTACCTCATTTTTCTCACTCTTGTTCATATAATGTTTATATTTTTACTGTTTTTCCCCGTTTGTAAATACTCGATGTTATTTCTTTTCAGACTCTGAGATAAACCTGCTCAACTCCTCTTTTTTTGAGTATCTCGATCGAATTGGTAGGTTTGGTTCATTCTTCTTCCCCTTCTTAACAGCTAATTGTACAAGAAAAACAAAACATTTACCCTCTTTTTTCATTTTTATCAAACTTTCTAGATATCTCTGACTTGGACACCTTTATTGGTACGAGTTCCCCGAATTCTTCACCACCAGTGCTTGTGCGATCCACAGGAAAGAATATTCGTCTCTCCACACGGGACAGAGAGTATTTGCTCTCTACGCTAGGTCGCCCTGCTTCATCTGGCCCCAGTTCCATTCCCGTCGGAGCTTGTTCTCTCCCGCAACCCTCTGGGAAAAACCTGCGCCTGTCCGCGGGGACAGCCAAGATTTGCTCTCCGAGCTCACTCCCGATGCTCCGGCCGATCGGAGCCCCAGAAACGCTTCTTATTCTCCGCCATCAGACACACGAAATGCACCGCGCCTGCCTTTGAGACCCAATCACGGTCAGTCTCTCTAGGTTCTCGCTTTTTTGTCATTTCTTTTTTAAAATAAAAACTAACCCTTTTCTATTTAACTTTACTAACTGTTTGTATCTTACCCTCAAATTCTCAGGGCGTCTCAGAAGGAGGAGTAGCAGGACCCGCAGGATCGCAAGGACAAGGAGGACAACGCGAACACGCACCCGAAGGCAGCTGGCGTCAATCGCTCTTCGTGCGGTATCTCTGTTCGCTGAATTAGTTCAGCTCATCTTATAAAAACTTTGTTTTTGATATTTTTTTTTATTTTGCTTTTCAAACATACTTTCTTTGTGGTTTTTTCTTTTAATATATTCCTGTTAAACAATAATAATAAAATAAATGGATAACCAGGAACAAGATATTACAGACCCGTTTCTTGCTTTAGAAACAGCGTTAGCTAGGTTAAATGAAATATACACCATTCTCAGATTACATATTCACAAAAACAGTGAGCAACCTGAGGTGATCAATAATAATGATCCTTTAGAATTGCTTAATTTAGCTCTTGCCCGATTAGCACCCAATGAAAGTGCCTTTCAAAATAATTCTTTGAGTTTGGGATTGGATCATGATGAGATCCAAACAGAGTCAGACGCGGTTCATTCACAAATGAGTCTGACACAAAACATCTCCTCTTCTGATCCGTTTTTAGCAATTAATAGAGCTTTAGAAGCTTTGGCCCAAATACAAAATGAGGTTCAAATACCGTCAGAGTTATTGAGTCAAATAAACAGGCTAAATCAAAATCGTTTCATTGATTCTCAAAGCCAGCATTCGCTAGTCTTTTCCCCAGAAAATGCGTGTCCCCACGAACCGCTCAGCCGCAGCCCCCGATACAGCTGTCAACCACTTTCAATGACTCTAATCCTCATCAATCACTCAGCTCTCCCGCAGACATTGTCTCTGCGAACGAGCCACTTAACCCAGTAAACCATGATCACTCCTTTCAACAAGGGGGTAATCCAGACCAGAGTTGCGCCAGTAATTCAGCACAACCCTCTATAGTTGTTAGAAATAAATTTAATAACGTTGAAATTAGAGAAATTTTGAATTTTCCTCCTCCAAACGATATACCCGACTATGCGCATTATTATCAAGGCGTAATGTCTAGTGCACGTGAAATATTAAACAGGGTTTTCTCTCACGCACGTCCAGGTGATTATATCCAGTTAGAATTGATAGGCCAACAGTTACAAAATAATGTTTCAGTGATTTTACGTGATAATCATGATTTATCTGAATTTGAAAATTTATTCTTGAGAGCGGTACAGTCAAACTGGTCAGTAATGTGTGATGGCTCGTTGGAGGTTGTAGCTCAGATTGTTACACCCCAAATGGCAGTGGGAAAAGATTGCTTAAACACATACTCGACAGCGAAATTGTGAAAAAGAAAAGACGTTTTTTATACGTGGTCCATAACCCCTCGAATAAGTTGTGTTTTGCTACAAGTGTTGCCCACCTTCTGCAACCCGATTTTAATGACTATCAAGCACAAACATTAGCTAGAGAAATTCAACAAAAAGCTGGTCTAAATGATCAAACGCCTGTTGGGTTTAATCAAATAATTACATTTGAAAGGTTACTAGGATGTAAAATTATAGTATTTTACCGTAACGAGCATGATCGCACCCTTTGTAAATTTCAGACTAGTACAGTCAATAGCGCAAAACCTTGTGTTTATTTTTATTTGACAATCATTACTACGCTATCAAAATCTTAAAGGATTTTTGGGCACAGCGTATTTGTGTACTCATTGTTACATAGGCTTTAACCATGTGTTATCCCATTTCTGCCCTGCTCGTTGCTCAGTCTGTATGCAGCCTGACTGCAACGAGCATTTCCTCTCCCCTATTGTATGTACCGATTGTAATCGCACCTGTAGATCTCGTTATTGTTTGAGAGCCATAAAAAACTCGTTGAGAGGCGTGAAAGGTCTGCCAGCAACTGTGAGCTCTACAGGAAATGTATCAAGTGCTCAAGGCTATATTACTTAGCAGCATATGAAAAACCTCACAAATGCCAAAAGAGAAAATGCCAAATCTGTCGTCAGGAAATCTC